CTGCTACTGCTACTACTGCTATTACTGCAGCTACTACTGAAACTGTTGCTACTGTTGCTACTGCTGCTACGACGACGACCACGACTGCGGCAAGGACGATGACCACAGCAACTGCGACTTCCTAATACTTGTGATTCCGATCTCTTGTGCTTTATTCAATATTCATCCGATGCTTCTCCAGTGGTCTAGATGTCTGTCAGGTGCTGGTCGGCGTGCTTCCCGGAGATCCGAGTGCTGCAGGGACTGCTAACATGGGAGAAAGGCCCGATGCCGGCCAGTTTGACCAACCACTAGTGCCCGACTGTGAAGCCTAGGCTAAACGTCTAGCAGGTCGCAGAGTCCAACGAGTTAGCAGCTGCAAGTAGCAAAACCAAGGATGTCCGGGTTTAAGACGGCCACGTCCTGCAGCACTTACATTATGTAATTCCATCGCACCACTCACTGAATTCCCGCAGACATCAATCTATGCAGTCTTTGTTACTGCCTGGAGGTCCACAGCATCTCGAACCGCTCGCTCCCTTGAAAAGTTTGGTCTTCGACAAGTTGGTAAGCGAGGGCCGCCCGGCAGAAAGTATCCAATGGCGATTGCACAGTTGGTGCATCGTCCGAGTCAGCCGTGAGAGACCTGCGATTTAAGCGAGGTTCCTTTGGGCAAGTCTTCGGTGGCACTTGGTGCGGTCGCAGAGTGGCCATCAAGGTGGAGAATTGTAACTCCAAGATGCCCGATGTCGCACAAAAACTTCGGGGAGATGCCTCCCTGCCACCTGTAGCAAGTTCAGGTTGAGACCAGAGATGTTTCTGTGTCTATTAGTATGCGGAGAACCAGATTCAATGCACGGCGTTTAGCACCAAGAGCGTTGCTGCCATTTGCGATTCACGGGATCCATGATCCATGAATAGGTGTTGCGCAGTGAGAGCAGCGGCATCGAGGAGGCGATGTTAATGAAGCATCTCGTCAGCAGCGATCTTGTAAAGCTGAAGCAGGAAAGAGGTGTTTGAACGATGTGGTGCGACCCCAAAGTCGGCAACCTTATGCAGGATTGCAAGAGTTCTGAGCATGCCGGTTCAACCCAAACTATCAAGCCCCTCATCTTCTTGATTGGGCCACTTGGCCCAAGTATATCTGCATTGAGGGTTGCAGGTGGCCCGAGTCTGTTTGGCTACCACACGCGGCGAATCGTCCTGGCACGCAAGCAGAGCTCAGCTACGCAAGTACCCCGGAACGCAAGCATGCAGGCACACTGGCACACACACTGGCACACACACTGGCACGCAGCACAGACACAGGCACACAGGAACCCGGGCTCGCACCATGGCTGCCATACACACAGACAGGACAGACAGAGACAGACAGAGACAGACAGACAGACAACGACACGCACAACACACAACACACAACACACAACGCATAACACATAACACATAACACATAGCACACAACGCGCAACACGCAACACGCAAGACCACAACACACATAGCACATAACACATAACACACAACACAGAACACATAACACACAGCACACAAGGCACAACACACAACACACAACACACCACAACACGCAACAAACAACTGCGCGTGCATACAACGCCGAAGGAAAGTCCGAACATGTAGCGTGGTAGTTTTGACCGCAGACCGGAGGTCGTTGTGTCACCCCAATGTGGTCGAGGCAATTTTCTTCGCGGAGGCTGTGCGCAATGTCAGACATCAAGTTGCAAGTCGAATCGTTGCTGACCAGGTGGCACACGAGTTGATGGGCATGCAAGTTTGGTTGGTGCAGGCCGGGGAGAAGTGGGCACTCAGCCAGTCAAAGTACGCATTGTTTTCTAAGGAGTTTTGCGAGTGTGGCACATGGGGCAGCCACTGCGTTTCGCCTCGCAATGCGTGGGCTGGCCTGTGCGAGGCCTTTGTGTTGTAGTTGATGGCTTGTTCCTTTTCTTGGCGCTTGTAGAACTAACACGAAGTGGCTACATTGTATGTTGGAGGCACGGGATATGTGTGTGGAGGTGTGCTCAGCATGCAACTGGCTGTAGCTTGGCTGCAAGCGCACCGGGGGGGTTGAAGTGGTTGGTGACAAGCTCGGATGCGTGCAGCTGAGCTGATCGAGACCATTTCCAGATGTTTGGTGCTCCTATGTGGAAGGACCGCCTCTGGCAGCCCCGCGACGCTTCGCTCACAGCACCATCATCGATTGTTCATGTCTGAGACACCGACAATGCATGCAACCCGTGCTCCGGCCACTGCCCTGTCCGCGGCTCGCTGCAAGCACGATGCTGCGCAGCTTCAAGTTGCGAACAATTCTGCTCGACTTGCGCGCTCCATGTCCCATGATTGCATCGTCGCAGCGGCGCGTTTGTGTGGACGGCACCACTTGCAGTGCAGACCTCTCCTGCTGGGTTCTTCGAGCTTCGCTGCATCAAACTCTACATGTGTCAGCTGTTGCGCACGGCGCATCCGCTTCGCACGCTTGGACATGGAACAGCTTTTAGGACGAGTGCCCACTCCATTCCAATCACCGTGGATTGATGTAGACGCAGCCCTCGTGTCGCCTGATGGATGGCGTCGCAACTAGCAATCCAAAACGTCTTCATCTTGTATACGCTGCAGGCATTCAGGATTTTACAACCCGACGCGAGTTCTTGGCCTGACCAGTGTTTCAGCCACTGCGGTGCTGGTGAGATTGGTGCATTTGCACAGCTGCTTCACGCCTCTGATGTAGTGCTTTTTCACAGGTTGAATTGCCGAAACACTCGTGGTTCGCGAAGTCTGCTCCAACTGAGTTCGGTGCTTTATGGAACGTCGACTGTGGGACTTCGATGGCTGTCCATGTGCTCTCTGCTAGTCTGGTGTTTCCCCAATCAGCGTCGCAGCGCCATGAGAATCATGGGGTTCGCGTATGCATAGTCAAAAACTAGATCGCCGTGCCGCGTGTGGCTCTGCCACTGCCATTGTGGCACGGTTCGCTTTTTTTTTGTGTTGCGTTTCACAGAAGCATCACCCTCCAACGCGAGGACCATGATAACGGTTCCGAGACCGATGCCGCAGTTACACTTTCGGACGCCCTCAGCACTGTCACTCCCTTCGCCTCACCCCGTGGTGAGGTCCAACCGGAACTCTTGGGAGCGATGGCGCCGGCAGCACCCGACGAGGCGACACCTGGCTTCACGCCGCCCCGCTCACCGGACTCACCGCAGCGCGAGCGAGACACCAATGCCGAGCCGTTGTCCTGGCAAGATGCTCAGCCCGCCGAGCTCAATGCCCGGCGAGCGAAACACGTTGCTGCCAGCTCCCGCCAGTGAGCCGCTATGCTGGCAGGATGCCCGCCCACCACACGAAGCACCAGGCGAGATCAGGCGAGCCGTGTTCCTGGCTGTTTGTGCCACTCCTCCACGCCGCAGCAGGCGCCCTGACACAGGTCGCCACATGCTTGGCAATGCCATCCGCACATCGGTGTACGTCTTGTCCGCTTCCTTCACGCCGAGCTTGCGTGCATCGACCGCGACCCGGAGCGGCCGCGGCTGACGTCGCACCCGCCGAAGCACTGACCGCTTTGCCGGCCGGCTGCGCCTTGACCCCTGTCGGGCGAAATCGCTTTTGTATGGATGTACAAGGATACGTCCCCGCTGCAGTGCAAGTGACCCTGCTCGTTGCGGGCACCGCCTTGGGCCACGAATGGCCGGCTGCCCCACTACCTGGGCCAGCCCTGCACTGGACCGTGTGTGTACGTCAACGAAGGGCCCAGCCGCTTGCTTCTGCGGCCCTCGGGACCGAGCGCGGTAGTAAGACCAACGTAGCTGTGGCACTTTTTTGCAAGCGGAAACATCCGAAAGGGAAAAACAAAAACACCAAACCCCCAGCTCGGCTCAATCCAACGTGGAGTCAAACAGGGTGATGTGCTCAGTCCGGCACTTTTCAATGCTGGCCTTGAACTCGCAGTTGCGCGATGGAAATGCAAACTTTCACAGCACGGGCTGCACGTTGGTGGAACGGAACGTCTTACAAACACACGGTATGCAAATGACATTTTACTGTTTGCCAAATCACTGGAGGAGCTTGTTTTCATGATGGAATCGCTTGCACGAATTGGCACAAATTGGGCTGGAACTTAGTTCCTCCAAGACTAAGATCTTCACAACTCAGGCGTTGACAACACCGCTCTTTGTGGAAGTATGTCGAGACATGGTGCACGTGCTCACGGGTGATCAGACACACAGATATTTGGAACGCAGCCTACGCGGTTCATTGGCTCGGAGACACGTGGTTGAGTTCAATCATCGTGTTCAATTGGCATGGGACAAATTCCATCGACATCGCCGTGTTTTGGTCAACAATCATGTTTCATCATGTGTCCATCAAACTTCGCATCCACGAGCTCTTGCGTTGATCGCGTTGCGTCGCAGGCTCCGGCTCCCACTCCCGCTCGCGCTTGGCTGCGGCGGGAGCACCTCGAAACCTGGGTGTGGGGTGCCCTGGGAGACCGTGTGCTCGCGTGCCCCTGGACCGGCCTCCTGGCCAGGCGAGCGCCGAGCTGGGGTTTTCGCTTTCGTTTTTTTTTTCCGCCCGTCCGCGTACGCTGATGAAGACCACGGTCCTTTAAGGACATGGGGGATACAGAGCACGCGTGCAAGCAGATTCGTCACTGTACAAGCACTGGATGCAACAGTCTGCTAGCTCTGCCCCACCATCGCGACACAGGCTCTTCAGCACCAGCCAATGCATCGACAGCGCACGTGACATCTCACGCGACATTGCCTATGTCGCACATGTGTGCCAAGCAGCGGCATGTGAATGTTGACTACATTCCGATACGAGCGAGTGAACATTGCGTGGGCTCCGTAGTAGTTGTCCAAGTTGTCTACCTCGTGAGTCGAGCTTGCCATCTCCTCATTGAAGTTGATGTTCACCTTACTTTGTGTTTTTGCAGCTTTTTGTTCTTTGTGCTTTGTTACCATACGAATGGACTGGCAAGCAGAGTAGTTTCATGCTTTGACCATGGCACATGGTCGTTAACGGACTCGTCTCCGTACAACTTGGACAAACTCGTTGACGAAATCATGTGCTCTGCGTTTCCATGCGCTACTGGCGGCTAGATACATCCAACAAAGAATGCGCGTCGGGAAACTCTAAGTTGCATAGAATTCGCAACTCACGAGTTCGACTCGGGATTCCACGTGACCACGCGTGTCACCCAACCATTGGTCTGCGCAACTCGGACGGCGAATGAATGCTGACACGTGGCCAAATGTTTTCTTCTGGTCCATGTTTCGATGGGGTGCTGATGTAAAAGCCTTGGCCACCCGGCTTTTCATGCGACTCATGGTGTCGTGCCAGCTCTCGTCTCGAATTCGGATCCACCCAAGCAACCATTGACCGCAGCATCCGCTTTTGCATTGAATCGAGTTCGGATAAGTGCACGCCGGTTGAAGCCAATGTGTGCATACCGAACAATATGGTCGGCGTCACGACGGCGTCGAAAAAAAATTCATGGGGGCGGCAGCAGAGAAGGCAGCAAACCAGTGGTCGCGGAAGAAAAGGTTCCGGGCACGCGATGCACAAATCTGCCACCCGTGCTTCCATCCACCGGGCTCGGCGATCCTTTCAGGTCGGTCGGGCGCCCTTTTCCTTGCGCCCAAGCAGGCACGTCCGTCTATCGGCCGCGAGGATCCCACCGGCCGGACAGATTCCTGCTCGGGCTCCGCAACTGCGACAGTTTCGATAGGTGCTGGGGGTAGTGCTTCGGGCACTTACGTTTGTTTTATTTCAATCAAACTAAGC